TTCGCTTCCAGCCGACTTCTGTACGCGCAAAGAGTGCACATTGAGGTAAACACTCAGCTGGTATGCGAAGTACGTGCCCAAGCCACCGAAATCTATGCAGTGAAATTATGCAGCTCAGCAGCCGACAAAATCTGTCCGATTTGAAAATCCTTCGGTAAACCTCATTCGTCCAAATGTGGTGTTGCCACCCCACTCTAGCAATGTTCTGAAGGCAGCGGTGATCAAGACAGTCTCTGGACGTCCTTTGCGCAAGCATGTCAGGTATCCCGACCGTAGAGCAGGACTGCTATCACATTAACATTGTGGACTCGGCTCTGCAAGAATAGATACAGGTCGCGGAAACACCAGAGATGCCGGAGACTAGCGAACGCAACCCGGACCTTGGTGAGGCACAAAAAGACCTCATCCTTCAAACAGTTAGCGCTGATGCAGCTTCCAAGGTAAACAAATTTGTCTACCACCTCCAGAGATTGGCCTGAAATGGTAAGGGTGGGAGCAAATCCTCACCAGTCCAGTACAAAGACGTCACACCGCGAAGCGTTGAAGGTCCTTCTAAATTGGCAGGCGAACACAGCAACCTGCATAGCACATTTTGTGCAGCCTTTGAAAAATCGCAAATTACGGCAATGTAGTCTGCCTAGCTTAAATCTCAAATTCGGTTCCCCGGAGGCCGTTCATCTCTGCTGGGTCCGCAATGCTCCAGAGCGCTCTGCAGAATATCATCAATAGGGAACATGAACAGGAATGGTGATGCAAGGCAGCTCTGCCTTACACCAATGAGGATAATATAGGGCAGCAAAAGTTGACCGTACACCCGCACTCGGCTCGAAGTCCTAAAGTAAATGGCTTGTCGGATGTTGACCTACTTCCCAGGCGCTCTCCTCAATAGACAGCCACAGAGAGCAGCTCAGTCAACTGAGTAAAACCCGGAGTGTATGTGTAAGAAGTCGACGATCGTTGGCCGACCGAACGTTTGACAACGCTCGAGTATTTGGCGGAGTGTAAGGATGTGTTCGATATAAGTGCGGCTGGAGCGGAACCCAGCTTGCTCTTCGTGCATGATATTTTCTCATGCCAGGCTGAGCCTCCTTAAAAGCAGGGGGCGAGCACTTTTGGTGCAACGCAGATGAGACTAATCCCACTGTGGTTAGCACGGCCCGTCCGGACACCATTTTGAACACGGGCACGGTATCCGCACGACTCCAAACGGACCGGGTTGCTTCGTGGTTCAATCCTTTTTGTGGGGGAAGTTAACTCCCGAACATCTGATGAACCTGCTATCGGAGCTAAATGGCCTGGTGATCATGGCGAAAACAGCCAAGCATTATGCGCTGTGTTCTACTCTCAGCTCGGCTATCTCTACCTGATGAGCCTAAACAAAGACGAAACCGTCGATCGTGGATTGCGGGAATGGGAGAGAGCCACACCTAAACCCTCCACTTCGGTGACGGTCCCAGTTACCGTATTGGCAGAGGCTGACTTCAAAGTCAACCGGTGCCCCTAGTCAAGTTGCGCGCCACATTCTAAGACCCACGGCGGCTGCTGAAACACCCGAAAATCTACTTCTAACCAATGTGTCAAACACTGCTCGCGGAGCTCAATGGCCTAGTGATCGTGGCGAAAACAGCCAAGCACTATGCGCTGTGTTCCCCTCCCAGCTCGGCTATCTCTACCTGATGGGTCTAAACAAAGACGAAACCGTCGATCGTGGATTGCGGGAATGGGAGAGAGCCATACCTAAACCCTCCACTTCGGTGACGGTCGCAGTGACCGTATTGGAAAAGGCTGACTTCGACATCAACCGTGGCAGCGATTGAGATTGTGTGTCACAATCCAAGACACACGGCGGCTGCTCCAAATCCCAAAATGTCTGATGGAGCTCCAACTTTGAAAAGAGCCGGAGGGAGTTCGTCCGGGCCAGCGGCCTTGTAGCGTCTCAAGTGGCGATGCTCATAAGCAGCTTCAACCTCAGAAGGAAATGAAACGTCTGCACATCAAGGAACAGTACGGAATTCCGAATGAGGGATCACCGGTTTTGCAAGGCAGCTGAAGGACGGCTCAACATGTTCATCCTAACGCACGAGTCAACGTTGCTGGCAGTTGGTTCGCTCGCCATTGATTTTGCACAAAACTTCGCTTTCAGTCGGCTTTTTGAAGCCTGTGGATCAGACCAGGCGGAAAAGTTTTCGAAAATTTCCGAAGTTGGCCGCCTGCTACGTATCAATAACACTTTGCGTCCACCAAGCCTCGCCATACTCCCGAAGGAGCCGTTTGAGTTCAGCGTTAGTGGTCCTGCGTAGTGGATGATACACGACGCCAGCTGGAATTGTCCGAAGTGTTTCGAGAAGTTGGAGGGATCATGCAGAGGTCCAGCAGTTGACAGGACTGCTGCCGAAACCATAGACCAGGGTCGCAGAGTTGTGCATGGCGCTGCGGATTTGTGCCCGTGCGTTTCAACTTCAGTGCATGAGGCGCTCTTCAGATTTGAGGCCAATACATCCTGAAACTCACTGAGAACGCTTTGGGCGGGAAGTTTGTCCACGTCAAACCGTGTCCGGTGACGCCTTTGGGAGCCAGCAAAACGTAAAGCAATCTTGGCACACACAAGTGCGTGATCTGAAAGGAGGTACGTACTCCAGCGTGATTTGCAACCTCGTATGCAGCACCGCCAGTGATAATTGATGGCGACGTGGTCAATCTGCGTCCATGGTGGACCAGGTGACGAAGACCTCCAGGTCGCGCATTGGCGCCAGGATTGCCGAAAGCCAGTACTTGACAGGAAGAGCTCGTGATCGAAGCAAATCTGAAGTAGGCGATCGCCATTACCTGTTCTGCGTGTGCCATGGCCATGTTGACCACTGAGTCCACGCTCTACAACTTTAAGTCTACCGACCAGCGGGGTTAATCCCCCTACAAACACCACGATGTCTGTAAGGTGCATTTTTCGGTGGAGGTCGGACAGCTGACAGTAGAATGTCTCTCTAACTGACCCCGGCTGCACTCTGTATACTGCTACAACGAAGGAGCAACGTATGCCGACTCCACGACTGGAAAGTCGCACTGAGGTCTCAAGTCGGATCGCGGAAAGTCTATGGTTGACAGGGATCTAGGCATGTAGCTGGGCCTCAGCACATAAGGTTAACGCACTCCACACGCCGGCAAGACTAGCGGCTTCGGCGATTGCGTCTCCGGATAAGCGCAATGTGAAAGTGTCATTGGAACTCGCAGTCGGCGAAGCTAGTTGTAGCGTCATGTTTGGGCCCGGTAATCGGGTTGGCTTGAGGCAGCAGACCACAATGGCAGTGATCTCAAGTGTGCAAGCAAGGGCTGTTTGTGATCCAATCCGCAGCAGCATCCGGACGTTAAAGGTTGCCGGTCTGAATTGCTAACGGGCCGCTTGAAAAGGTTTGCCAGTACTATTTATCGGCATCCACTGCGATCTAAATTCCTGGTCTGTATAACGAGAACACTCGCCCAAGGCGGCACGAGGTTGTGGACTCGGAAACGCAGAGGAATTATCAATGATGGGGAAACTGAACCAACGTGGAATAAAGTAATCGAACTGCGGGGCGATGGGGCACGATATAGCATGTTCATAAGCCAGCACCACTAGCGAGGACGGCGCTTGCAAAGAGCAGAGCGTGAAAACAGAAAGTCGTTGTTCCATATGTTGTGTGTGCATGGTATTTCCCTGTGGCCAAGTCCGAGGAAGTGGACTGACTTAGGGGACCCCACCCAGATCCTTTGGTCTAAAGACCTGACCTGCAATGTTGCGGGCCGGTTGACGTATATCAAATACCGTTTGGAACCGGCTACCAAGATGATGATAACACGGCTTTCGAACAGGAAAAAACTGCTCGGGCTTCCCAATAAACTCGAGTGAAGCAGCACGAAGACTAGGAGAAAGGGCCTACAGCAACGTGCTCCCCGAACAGCATGAAGGCCATTGGCAGTCAAGTGGCTCATACGTCTTCACAGAAGTCGGTGGCCATCGAGGTGGTTCATCTGTTCTCCGTTGTGCACTCACTTCTGGCCGCCGAAGTGAGTGGTCACTGACCCACTAGCCGATCGTATTGGTTTGACACAGAGTCTTACGAGCTCATGTGGTATTTAATTTGGAACCAGGTGATCAGTGCAGTACCCCCATGCTCTAGGAGGCTGTCACTGATTATCCATGACTGCTTATTCATCTCGCCTGCAAAGCAAGCGAGACGTTTTCGCAGTTAGCTCTACCAGGAACGCATTCTCCAATCCGCAACCTGCGCACACGCTCGGTGCCGTACAGCTCCGTCGAAGTAACCAGTACTCAGTTCACTTCCGATGAGTATGATTATATGACTAAGTTTAACTGTAACGCAGTTAGTCAGAATTTCCCATACCTCCCTACTGCTTGCTTGACCCTGGACTTGCAGTGAAGTCAATTAAATTAGTGTGAGGTAAAAACAGCTAAAACTGGAGGTCTACTGATATCTGGGTGCTTTCACGGACGACTTAATCAACTGCAACCTCAACAACTGTTTTACCATACACTTTTAACGGATGAATGTTGTTCTGGTCCAAGATTAAGTAAATTTTTCATACATGAACCTACGCCTGTGCGTCTAACGAAAGCCGCTTCAAATATGTTTATTTATGAACCACTTGTTACAAAATGTGCCCGTTAGTAAATCCACCGCGTCGCAAAACATCTATCAGCCAAATTTATATCAAAAACTCTGTGGGTGCCCCCATAACCCACAGCGCAGCATCCAATTCAACCAGCAGATCTCTTTCTGACACACTGCGAGCTTTAATCCTACCATCTGTCGCCAACTCCAGCAAAGCCTGTTCACAACCGCAGTTTGTTTCATCTGTATGGCTTCGCAACGCCACAGAATGTAGCCTTATTATTACTGGACGATTGAAATATTCTGTTGCGTAAGTGACAGATGAAACTAATTACAATTACTATTGACGAAACTTCACTTGAAATACAGCACGCAATAATTACCAAAGCGCAATTAACAGTTGGAAGGCAAACTCACCTTTACTTTTAGAGGGCAGCAGAGGAGAAGGAATGGAAATCGCCTGTTTAATTCCCCCCGGAATTTTGGGTGTCTAATAGCATAAATAAACGGGTTGTACACGGCCGACGTCTTCGCAAAAAGAACTGGAATTTCGGATCCGAAGGGCGTGAGGTTCTCCATCCAGCCGATCAAGGTCATCAGGCAGACGACGGCGTATGGCGTCCATGCAGCCAAAAAGAAAATAACCAACAGGATCGCTGTTTTTGTCGCCTCGATATCACTCTTCCTGTTTGCTACAAAAGTGTAAACATATTTTGTATCTCGGTGTCTCAAGGTCAATCAGTGCAATAAAAGTTTGGCTAATTTTTTTTGGCAGTTAGTCTAACCACCCGTTTTGCAAGATACCAGAGGGTCATTTTGCCCCCATTGATCGCGAAAAGTGTGCTTAACCCCATGGTTTAGTGCCAGAAGCTTTTGGCTAGTTGTACAAATTGTAAGCATTTATCGCTGGGGTTCCTGATGCGGGCAGAGGATGACCATCACGAACGAGCCTCAATAAGTCAAAACAGCTGTCTGGTCCCTTTCTGGATCAGCGGTTGAACTATCCGGCTTGTGAAACGTCAGGACGAATCCACAACATTTCATCAAAACTCTTTCTACTCACTAGTGATTTGTAAAGTGCCGGTAGTGCAGCTTGGCTTCAGCTAGTCGCTAGTTCCTTGATGTTCGTAAGCTAACCTCCCGTATTCTTGCGGCTGAATGATACTCTAGACGGTAATCGTTATCTTTGTCATTTTTGGTAACTCACATTGAAAAGCCTCCACCTGTGTTAACGGACTCTGCACGCACTTGCTCACTTAGTTATGTTCATGCATTGGACGGCTGAATGTTCTCATTGACTGCAGAGTTTTCACAATCATGCAACAATTTTACTCATTCTTTGGTATTCTGTGTCCCACTACTTCCGTTTAATCCCGTGAGCTGACACTAAAATTAGGTCAATGTAGATGAGAATTCTCGCTCTAGGTTACTAATGATGCACATTCCTTAGCAGGATTCCTGGTATAGAGGGGTTGTTGAACGATTCTTCCTCTTATGCCGTAAGCATGATGAGAGACTGTAGTACATTTCAAGAAACAAAGACGGGATGTAGCAGAACCGGAAGTTCCATAGATGTTGGTGAAGATACAAAAGTGGTCGTTTAAATTATTCATTCATTTTATCATTTTTCAAATTTACCGAAACCTTGGAAAGCGTGCTTTAATTTCACCACTGGTCATATCTCTCAGACTAAACATTACGATGAAAATTGCGGCGCTTCTGTTACAACCGATACCGATGAATTCACATACATTAAATTGTTGATGAACTGGACCAGGCTCGTCCAATCACTACTTTGTATTACAGTACAATATACTGTTAAAACCCTAACTCAGCTAAATCTGGACAGCTTGTACTATAAAGTATAATAATGATATCATCTCATTTGTTATGAACGAAGCCTTGATGTTAGTGTCTAGTGCAGATCGCTGTTCAGTCAATTGATATCTTCCTCCAAATGCGTTGGGCCGTACAGCTTACGGATTGAGTGCCCAAGTACTTACGGGTAGACCTACGAATTTTTATAATATTCGCCAATGACTTCCTATGTAAGACCTTCTTAAACTGTTAATTATGTATTCCTGACGACGTAAGAACAGGACCGAAGTCCGTCAACGGCCTCGACACAAAGTGTAGATGATTAATGAGGGATGTGTTTTCGTTGCTTTAGCCCACTTCTCCATTGAATAAATTGCCCAATGATGCTCGAGAACCAGAATTCGCTAGGTGCCTTCAACAAAGTTTAAAACATATACTTAGCTGGGACGAACCTAGCTATTCAAAGTACCTAGACGAAGTATTAAGTAATATAAGTAAACTTCGTCGTGCCGTGGTTTTGCCATTTAAAGCTCTGTCACGTAACCACTTGCTTATATTCACCGGGAAGTACTTTGTTATAACCTAGCAGCCCTGCTTGAAGATCTATCCTGCTGCTTACCTGGATTCCAAATAAACTGTCAAACATATATTTCATCGCCTATCCGAAGCCAGACTGAAAACCCTAGAAAGGGGTACTGGACGGTATGCTTGTTTCTTTATATGGATAAGTGATTTACTGCGTCAAGCTAATGCTTTTGGACGAATCTTTGCCGATCAGCTCTGCTGATCTAAAAGTTGATAGATTTTTCACCTAAGTCTGACGCATCACACTTGCAGTAAACCACTAGCTTGCCAGTGTCGCCAAAAGACGGTTAATCAACAAAAGATCTAAAGGCTCACCAACCAACCTATATTGCTGAATTTAATCTATATTAATCGGATGACACACATCAAGCAGATTATAATGTTTGTGTCTATTTTTTCATAGAAAGAAATACAGGAGTGATTTTATGCATGTCTGTTGTGTGGAATGTTAGTTTACTGTTACTTCTACGATGGTAAACTAATATTCTCTTTCAGGTTGTCCTATGGGCTTGCAACTGTCATGATTTACTCATCCACCCAGCAGTTTAATCCATTATACAATTATGATAGCATGTGACCTTCCACCAACACGCTAGGTAATTTCAAGCTGAACAAATTCAACCTACGTATGTGTGCATTACCATGATCACGCCCTTGATGGGGTACCTCGCAATGACGAGAATAAACTGTTTATTTGTTTCGTAGAAAGTAGGTCACGATTAAAATTCACACACAATAATGTGCCCCGACGGGGAATCGAATGTACCATCGACCTTTGGACATCTGAAGGACAGATACTTCGGTCCATTGAGAAGTGACGGGTGAGTGAGCCAATCTGCAACACCAGGACAGGTACTGGGAGTTCACTGGGAATACGTCGCGCACCAAGCAGAAGTCATGTATCAAACATTGCGCACCTAATCGTTATCCCTCAGTAGCTCGGTGGTAGAGCAGCGGACCGGAAATTAGTTGGGCCGGGGTTCAATTCCCCGTCGAAGCACATTATTGTGTGTGGATTTTAATCGTGACTTCACTTTCTACGAACTTTGCACTACTCACAAACATCCACAATTAATTTATTTATTTATTTATTTACTACAATATGGTGCGTCAGTTTTAAGAACTACTGGGCCAATAGCAAGTAATCTGGCACAAATGGAAAACTAGGATAGGAAAGCGTGGACCGTGGACCACTCCAACGGGCTACCATAATGTGGACACTAAGCTTCCACAGATGGTGTTGTGCATGGGAAATGAATGTTCCGGAAAGATCGTCGTGACAAGACGCAATCGCATAAAAATGTATGATGTCAATAGGTAAACCTTTATGTACCCGGTGGAGGTTTTTTGGAACAACGAAAAGAGACTTGTGTCGTTCGGTCTTCTGCATTAATTCCCCCAACTGGAAACTTGGAAGGTTTGAATGTACTGATCAGGGTAGTGGTAACCGACTGGCTGCTGGCAACTTGCCGTCTGTTTGATGGAGAATCTCTCCTCTCACTTGGTTCAGTCCCGGTAGCCAGTGCTTCTAGCAGTCTCCATTTGCAATTTTGCTTGTTCGTTTTTGACTGGTAATGTGTTTCTAAAGTAGTATTAACTGGTCAAGGAGTTCAGGGTGAGATGATTAAATGAACAAGGCTCCGGAATAAAGTAGAGCGCACTTCCGAAACGCGTCCTTATTCACGGAATCTTTTAATCTTCAGGCGTCCAGGTACGTACATCTAAGTAAGAAATAACCAGTATGTGGACTTGCACGCACTTAGTTTATGCAATTACTTACGTTTATCCTCCGTCAGACATCGTGTTTGGATGTACGACTTTAGACGCGCCTCCATGAACATCCTTCCGTCAAGACGGTAACTAGAAGGTGCCTTGTTGGGTAGGACAGAAACTCAGCGAGCATACAATGACAACTGCCACTGTACAAGCTCGTTAATTATGGACAGTCAACCTTTCACGGGCTCCAACGCACATTGTTCCCTGCCGGTGCTTTGGTGCACACGAGGTAACAAAACGTACACCTTAGCTCCCTAATCGGCGATAAAGGCCTCTAGAACATGTGCCCAAGTGATGGGTGAGCGGACATTCTCGCTGATATAGCGAAACAGCAGGCCCATATGCGCATCAAGTGGGTCAGCCTAGATTTGGCGATCATTTTCATAATGAGTAGGTGACCATGCATGCTGCAACAACGTCTTGTGCTTTCTAGCATGGTTAGAGTACAGAAACCGATACGATGTTTTTATTGGGCCACTTACTCATCTTCAGCGACTTGCTCCCACCTTCCACATCTAGCTGGTTCGCGATCGTTCTCAATTGATGTTCACTGTGCCTTACGGTTCTGACGATTTGGCAATAGCAGAAGATAATCAAGAAAACCGGCACACTGAATCCGAAGATGTACATTCCCGCATTGAACAACAAATTCCGCATGTCAGTGGAGATATAGTCAAAAGTGCATGATGTGTGAAAACCTTCCGCAATGTAGCGACCTAGTGAGGAGTTACAAGGAAAAAGAAGCTCTAGGACTTGCAAATGAAAGAAAAAACACCAACAATGTTATGCACTTATTTCATTGTTTCACAATTAGGTAAAGAATCGAAGAGAATTCCCTCAGGGCAGGCAGCTTTCATCTTGGTCGCCCTGGTGGAGAGATGCGCAAGCGCATTTGCATAGATAAATTGTGGGGACGATTCCGACCCGAATTGTGCGCTGGCCAGCGGGCCAAGTAATTAAACAATGATAATTGGTCAGCTACTTACGAGTAGCATATGGCTAACAGAATTCCCGCAATTCATTATCAGGTGCCTAATGAAGCAGCGGAGTGAAACGAATGCAAGCTTATAAAATTCCGTCTATCACACAAGCGCCAGGATGCAAACTGCAAAGACAAAAAGGAAACAAACGTTGCAAGAAACGCAAATTGCCTTTCATACTGCCGGTGCGGACACACAAACGATCACAGTGAGTAAATTTAAAGTTGGAAAGCACTACGAAGGAAACCTTCCCGTTGAATAGCTATTTGTGCTTCGATAGTTGTCAAGAGTAACACTATGAACGTTAGGTCATTATTAGGGTGTACTTCTTCCCAGTGCCCGATACATCAACTTCGTGTACGGCTACCGGGTTGTCAGTTTTTGCTACGATTCCCTGGGGCCGTTATACACGATCTGGTACATACGATTGTTAATAATATGTGGACGGACCCTGGAACCAAGCGAAAATTTCTTTAATATGTCAAACTGTCATAAACCCCTGATTTAATGCAGAAGGCAATGGGCATCGTGTGACGAAAAGTGACACCGTCCGATTCTCCAGTGCTCACTCCCTCAGCATCGGCTTCGTCTCTTCTTAGAACACTTAAACAATACCATCTATGGTCACAAGGCTATACCCATGACGCACTTTGGCTGAGCATTGCATAACTAAGTGACAGGGTTTTCTCACGTTCTAACAACAAGTGTTGGCATCGACATCACAAATTTCTCGAGAATGAACCCAGCAGTTTCGTCTGTCGGTGAGGCGCCCCACAGCGCAGTAGGACTTTTTCGCGCATACACTGTCGTTTTAGGAGAGCTATTGGATACATGAGTCAGTGTGTAGTATGAATAAAACCTTACTAGAGGAAAGTTTGCTTGAGAAGAGTGTGCCCTCATGGCAACTACTGAGTAAGCTTTAGTTTGGACATTCTTCGTGTGGACGTTCTCTCAGTCTGTCTGCACTCTTTACTGAAAGGTAATGATTGCTTCTTGATGAACTGTATTCCCTACTGTTCTAGGTTCTGTGAGGCCGATCGCGCAATATAGTCTCCTTCATGGCTTGGAGCAAGTTACTCAGAGTCATAGAGGTTCGTTCGTCAAAGCGTAACGTTCAGAGTTCTAACGCTTAATAGCGCGTAGCCAATGATCCCAAAAAAGAGAAAAAAAGTTGGCTCACAACAACTACGGCCCTATTGAATCACATATGTGTACATAAATCGGATAAACCTCAAATGTTTTGGATTCTGGTGTTTGCGTCTCCGACAAGTAAACAACTGGCAAGGAAACCGATGTCATAACCGTTCGACGAGCACAAGTAGGGCAAGTGAAAACACCCAAAGAGTTGTGAATTATCAGTAAGCCGGCGGCCAATCATAAGCGGCCCGATCAAAGTGAGGTAAAGTTGGACAATGCAATTAACACGCATACAAGGCGATAACAGACCAGATGCATTGGGAAAGGTTACAATTCACACAGGTCATCTGCAATCAATTATGGCTAGAGTTCATGGGGATGCATGCGTAAACGAATGATGAAACACATCACAAAGATATGAGCGCATGTAGCGGCTAAACATGTAAGCACACGCGTTGGGGGAGATGGGAATAACTCCAGTTTATCTGAGGAAGTGGGCAGCGTGCGAGTGGTCTTCGCAGTGGAGAAGGAACGTCAAGGAATGGAACGAAAATTATAGTGTGTGTGATGACCAAGGGCATATTTCAGAGGACTTTTCCAATTGACGCCAAACTCCACTTCATAGAGTCACCACAAACTAGACAGAAAGACAGGTTAAAAAGGTCTGCGTTATGGCGTATGAGAAGCGATTCCAATTGGTACTTGGTTTATCTAACTCTTTTGTTGTTCCACGTCTGCGTGATATTGCTTCCTCAAGGACAAGTTTATCTGAGGAGCAAGTAATCCAGAATGCCGGTGTTTCAAAGCGTCAACCTATTAACGGTAGTGATAGATGCATTTGCAATCCGAAACACCTTGTGAGTCCTTGTAAGTTGGAAAAGGGCACGCGAGTCAGATGGAGCTTTAACTTCCTCTGCTGTTAAGAAACTAACCGGTGCAATTTGAAGAAGCAATAGCTACCTCAATGTGGCATATACTTGAGAGGAAACAACGTATGATGCGATACTTACCTATGGCAGACGAACACTTAGGAGTTTATCTCAACATCAGAAATCGCAACGTTCATACTTTCATTCATTCGGAGTAAAGGTGTGAATTGACTCCAGAGTTCTTCCAGGATGATCTCTAAGCTGTAATGTGGACGCTAACTAAGCAAATGTTTTCAGTTGCTGCGTATTTCCTGGTATATTAACCGCACGATTTCAGCTATGTAACGCTGCCATTTGAATTGCTGTCCTTCAAACTTGTTTGGATATGCTTCAGGAGTCATAATCATCTTTATCTATTGCTTCAGAATTATATTAAATCACGTGTTACTGAAAGCATCTCAAGGCTTAGAGCATATATAGAATCTCCTGCATTTATGAAAATGGTACAAATGTACATTCGCCAACAGGGGTTTTGGGACATAAAGTTACCGAAGTAACTGACGGTGAATGATCTAAACATGTGGCTGTCATTCCTAGCCAGAGTTGGCATAACAGTTTACAGAAGGGCCATGAATTATCTACACGAATTTGTGGATCGAACCTCATCTGGTTGAAGAGGAAATATCACCGTTACTGAAAAAATCGTCCGCTATCAGCTCCGTTGTAGTTCTGCAATCCACCTAAATTCATGGCTCCCACAATTAACATTAAATAAATCCAAGGAACACACCAGGATTGGCGCTAAGTAACAAAATATATGTGGATGAGTTCGTCATACAACCGTTTTTTAATATTGATAGTATCGGTGCAGTAACGACCGATTCTGGGAGAGCAGTCCACGGATGATAGACACGAATAGCAAATAAATTCCTGTGACCCTCCAGACGGCTCTAGTCTTCTGCGAGTTTCAATGTGTGACCCCCCAAGTTTGTACTGCTGCTGAGTTGCAGTAAAGAGCGACACACATGAAGCGGGTCGTTCAGAATGAGGTATGTCATAACCAGGTCGCCCCTTAATCTGTGATACCGTCCGCTGAATATCCCCCAATATTTTCAGTCTCACCTCGTATGAAAGATTGCGCATTCCAAGTACGTACTTAGATGCGCGACTTTGAGGCTGCTTCAGTGCGTTAAGGTCGTGTTATAACCATGGATACCAGTCCCGTATTTCGTACTCGACATGGGGGCGAAGTGCGCAGTGATTATTTGTATAAAAAAATAGAACTGTCTATTTGTCCTAACGTCCGTCTCAACAGCCTGACGTGTTGGCTTCCAGTCTTCGAGACCTTTTCAGATTGCCTGGAGGAACCCAAGTCATGTTGAACCAGCAAAACCTAGTCACGTTCGACAGTCACATGCTGCAGTACATTTGTTCCGAGTCGGTATGAGTAGTTTCTCTTATGTCGTATGGAGAGCAGGTTGCATTTAATCCCATTGAAATGCAGAACATTTTTGTTAAAGCAATGATGTATATTGTCTAGGTCACTCTGAAGCAGATGCTGGTTGACATTTACCTGAATCCTGCACCAACTATTGATGTCGTCGGCAAAGATTAGAAAGTTTGAAGTGAGTGTCTGTGCTAGCTCATTAATAAACACCAAAACAGACTGGGATCCAAAACTGAGCCCTGCGGAACACCACAATCGACTTGTATGGGGTCCGATAAAGAGCACCGAATCCCGACCACTGATTGCCGTTGAAGTAGCAAGTTGTCCACCCAGCTTAGAAGAGAGTCGCCAATCCCGCAATACCGTAACTTTTAAAGTAGTATCCCATGGTCCAGACGATCGAAAGCCTTAGAAAATTCCAGGTACTTCACGTCATCATCTTCTCCAGCGTCAACTGACTCGGTCCATGCAAGTAGCAAATTGCTTGTGCATGATGGCTGTTGACGGAAACCGTGTTGTTCGGGCGTAAGGATGTTGTAGTTTTCCAGATAACACATCAGTACATCGGCAACAATAGATTTCATGAACTTGGAGAGTACATGAAGAAGGGATCCTGGGCGATAGTTGGAGGGTTCAGTTCTGCTTCCACTTTTCTGAATCGGGGTTATTATTTCAAGCATTTACATGGCAAGCACCCGGTTCGGCTCTAAGGGGCGCTGAAAATACAGTAAAAGATCCTGCCAGTCGGCTTGCTGATGCTCCCAGTGTCTCTAGATGAATGATATCAACACCCGGGGAGCTTCTTTTGCATAGAGACGTCAGCTACTGCAATATAGCTTCCGCGGTAAAAGATATGTGGATTAATCCTAGTGGCGGGAAGACAAAGGCTGGAAGACCGCTTGGCGGCTAGACGCTCTGAAACGTGGGGCATAGTGTATCCGCAGCGCGGTTGCTGTTTCCATAACCCCTCTTTTGCTCTATCGGTCTTCCCGAATTGCGGAAATCCTTGCCTTACATTTCGCAAGCCATTGATATGTTTGTACAGCAGTTTGTGGCTAAGACGGAAGGTTTTTGCGATGTTCAGCTGATATACAGATTTGTCTTCTATGAGCAGTTGAGCACAGTGTTTGCGTTGGGCTTCCTAGTTCTCCCAGGTTTATGGCGTTGGAGCTTCTCTGTATACCCACCATGCTACTTTGCGTACAGCCATTCATTTTGGAGTTCCGCTCCTAGCGAAAGAAACTGATTTACAGTTATTGCAAACTCTTATCTCCGAAGCGTCTGTAAGCAACTGATTATGTTTGCAGACGAACTCGAGCCAGGCTATTTCCGGGGGTTTTCTGCAAGGAACGACCAAGTTGCTGCGCTGAAGACCTGGGCTAATCGATCGCAACTTGTGCTGGTTCACACAGTCTCGTAGTTCGAATTTCGATATTCCGCATAGCAGACGGTTGAAACCGAGGACAGGATGAGCACTGCGACCGAACGGGCAGTTTACAGACGACACATCCATCATATGCTCTATGTTGGCAAACACAAGCTCCAGCACAAATGGCCTGTTTCCTGTTCTGAACCGAGTAGGGAAAGTGATGTGCTTGTAAAGTGGGACAGTGGTTACGAGCTCCTGTAGATCTGGTTTGAATTGTTCTCCGATCGTGGCAGGGGTTTCTAAACAATGTACGCTGAAATCACTCATGATAAGAAGGTGAGTGTAATTTCGCTGTAACCAGCATCTTAAAGCGACCGCAAGGAGGCAGTCGGTTTCGGGTGTAGAGTTAGGTGGCGGTACACCAGGGTACTAGGACAAATGTCTATGCCTTTTAACTGCGCGCAGCACCAAAGAGAGTCGGGGAACTGCGAGCCTGAATCCTTCACGTCTTCACACTGTAAGTCGCTTTGGTAAGAGAGAAGTACCCCTCCTCCTTTTGTGAGTCTATCCTTCCAATGAGCAACATGCCGGGGGGCGAAACTTCAGTGTCCGTCATTCCAGTGTGCTACTATGTCTCGGTGATACCGATGACATCATAGGACCTGGAAGCTTGGCGACCTTTCAGTTTGGCCACTTTATTCAAATCACCCTGAGCATGCGTATAAACATAGGCCAGTTTCTCGGTCTCTAGGATCCCACAGAGGGCCGAAGGGATCAAGCGTGAGAGAAAGCTAACCGATGTGTGGTCAGCAATTCCTCCTTTTCCGATGGGATAATATTACTTCGTCTGGAAGATGTGTTCCAATGTTTGCTTAGACTTACGACAGAGTGGGGAGAAGGAGCTGTCAAGTTGAGCTCCTGTATCATTGCCGGTACGTGTATAGTTTTAAATGCTTTAATATCTGAATGTCGCGAAGCTTTTACGGCCTATAAACGAAGTTCAGAAGAAAGGTTTTTCGATTTCTTCGCCATCGATCCAAAATATCCGTCGCCGTTTGATGCGACTGAACCACAAATTTTAGGAATCTAGGGCCGTATCCTCTTTAATTTGTTGAGAGGGGTAGCCTGGTGAGCGATAACGCCACAATATTATCCAAGGAATATGTTTCAAGAATGAACCGCTACTTTCTATATCGTGTTTTCCAGCCTCTTGAACATTGTCAGAAAGAAGCTTTGGCACGCCATGTATTCAGATTGTGTTTGGACGATCTATCTTACTGTGTTCCTCTTCGCTGTTTCATTCGATTGTCGCAAGCCCCAAGAGACATCAGGATAGATGCATATCCCACAGGATGCGTGTCTTAGAGCGATTGCGGAGAATCAAATGTTTTCCACATCAATGGGGGATTCGAGTGTTACTCGAATAAGTCTGGGTTCCCCATGGTGTGCAGAGTTTGGATGACGAGTAATCCGTAATAGGCTTATGGGTTTGGCTTTAACACACATAAGCATGCACAATGAGTTCCATTGGTCTTAGTCGTCCGATAAGTTATCATGCAGTTTGATGGCAGTTGATTCGGGGACATTTGAGCACGCAACAGTCCGACCCCTTTTCCTTGATCTACAAAGTAGGGTAATCGTTTGTCCTGACCTACTAACAAGTGTTGATTGTTTAATTTTTGCTCCTCTATTCATGTTAACGGTGTTTGCAACAGAAGAGCTCGCAACGACAGCCTCCCGGTGGATCTTTGCAGCAACCTTTGCATATGTATTTGATATCCCTAGGGGCTTTGTCTCGACAAGAGATGTTTGAGACACAGGAAAGGAGGGTTGATTTTCGACTGTTTCATCCTGGTTAATGCTAAATATCATGTCTACTGAGCTTTGCTTCACCAGACGTTTCGGGTTGTAGCTACTTTGTGTTGCCAGTAATACTGCTTGACTCTCGTAGCTATAGTCGGTTTTGCTCGGCGTTCTACCGAACTTGAAAAAGAGATCAATAATGAGGACGTGGCTGATTGCGGGTCAGGGGAAACAAATTACGCAGCATACCGTTGCTTGGATGCCACTACGCTTCTCTGGTGCATACATGCTTCCATTGAAGTAAGCTTATCGTTCATCCACTGATCGGCTTCGGTGGTTAACCGGGTGCACTTCTAGACTAGGACAAGCATATACTTCACTAGTGGAATAGTGTACTTAGCAATACAGAACCAAAGGACATCTTGTGAGCTATTTCGCTCTCGTACCTGTCGTTGTGACAAATTTGCACAGTTCGGATGATACCATTCCAAACACTGCGAGTAAGTCAAACCTATTTTAACTAATCGGTGACATCCTCCTGACACACAAATGCCTTTTGCTTAGAGCACTTTCGGATTCGTATTTCTGCCATTCAACGTTAGCAGACCCTGTTGGTTGGTTGATGTTTTGTACTTTTGTAGCTTTGATGGTGACGCATATCTGTCAGGCGAGCGTTGTGGTTATAAGGCTGAATGCAAACGCTGTCGTTCAAGCTGGTTGTCTGGCTGACACAGGTTAGGATCCTGTTGAACAAGTCCAAGATGGCGGACACAGATGGCAACTGGGGCAATCAATGGAATCTCTGAAATCAGGCAGAGAATATCAGCCAAAATTGCAGATCGAAAAAAACACCAAAAGAAAGGTATAAGTGCACAATTCACTGAGAAAGAACACGTATAACACAGTAATCCTGAGGCAAAACTAGAATCCAGCGCGGTAAGTAAAAAAATCCGCAGAGTCCGTGGGTGCAGACCGATCTTCATCAGTTGAGGATGAGAGGAAGACAACTAGTCGGCCAATTGCAGCAAACTATCACATGGAACACATGCTGAACTTAAATAAGCAACTAGAAAGTTCCCCATTGCCTGTTTACCTGCCTCAGACATGCGCAGCGCCAGCAGACAATCCATCGGGCTTAACTGTGCTGACTTGTGTCTCAAGAGGGGAAAACGTGCTCCTGTCACTGTACGGTGCATTGACCTTAAATGTGGCGGAAACCGACTGAAGTGATCTCTAGTGTGTCCCCGGTTGCCAATTAGTTACTTACCTAACAATGACAGTAATGAATTGGTTTAATACTCATCAGTGCTGCTAAAGATTATTCGACCAGAAGTAGCTAATTGAAGCCGCAAATTGGTGGGCAGGAAGACGCTCGTTCTATGATTAATCATCTTATCAGTTTCGAGTTGGGCTGTTTAGTAGAAACAAAGTGGTAGTTGACATATGAGACACGCATCCTCAAAACACACAACTAACCCGAATTCGTCAGTGATTGGTACCAATTCCTTAGTGACTTATGGTTCAAGTTATAAAAGTGCACACGAGATTAGTTCCACAATCTAACTCACCGAATCCGAAGAGTGGGGGTGAACTCCACGTCAACGCCCACAACCACACGATCCCGACCATGACGGAAACGCGGCTGTAGGTCACTTTGGAAAATCTAGCAGTGGGTTGTGAGATTACCAAATATCTATCCAGAGCGATGAATACGTTGGTAGAGAGGGACACAAAACCAAAGAGACCGCCAAAGAAACCATAGAGCTCACAGGCTGAAATAGAAGAATAATCGACAATGACCACCACTCGAAACAGATCAAAAACACCATGTTTGAAATTGTTAGTTAGTTTATCAGTTGCTTAGCTAGTCATTCTGTAGGTGCAAGCATTCTGTAGCTGTAGTTTGTAGGCCACAGTGACAGATAAATCCGGAATCGGATGCAGCCAATTATATTTAGCTAGGCAGTTGGTAAGCAAATGAGATGCCTTAACCTCAAGGACGATGGTCGTGAGTCTATGGTTAACTGACACATCCGGGAATTATTCCCTCTTGGAAAAAACTGAATACGGTAGTTGAAAATTCGGGAATCTACAAGGTGGATTGACAGCAAAAATTCAAAATATAAGTGTTGGTATTGAACACATTTGGTAAAATTTTTCTGCCGAGGCCAAAATCAACTTTATCCCATGCATACATTCCAGTAAGTTGTGACTGGCCGCGCCTGCACAATCCAGCGCTGAACCAACCGTAAAAATCAAGGCCTTCAGTTGAAAACAAGTGGCACACTTGTCCCTTTACCATCAACATCACATAAACACCAACTTGCAGTGGACATACGAGAAAAGCAACTTTAGGAAAAAAACACTTATTTAAGAAAAACGTTGCAAAGAGAACAACTTTCGACAAACCACATCAGGCAAATACGTTCACAAGAATAACTGAAATAAGCATATGCTGATGGAAGCTGAACTGAATGCAGGAGAGTCCGAATTTATTCACACGGAAGTTAAATTGATCAGGCCAAGTGATAAAGCCTGTGTTGTCAATGAAGACTGACCTTATTTGACCCCAAGTGACACAGTTCGCTGAACACTTCGCGAAGCAAATTGGGTCAGCGGAGAAGTGACGACACCTTTGGTCTCATCAATATTCCATGCGGATGGATCCTTATCACGGCCACGGCAGCGTGACAGATTGCAGTAACATCCTCTGCTCGCAAAGCTCCGGGTTGTGTTAACTTGATCGTTATCAATTCCGTAATCTTAAGGATACGTCTCTTAATCCCTTTTGGGATATCGTTTTCACACGGTGTAGTAAACGTTGAAAGCATCATTGGGTCAGAATTTCGTGTCCAATTTGAACCAGATGTTCAAGCATGAAACTTCTAATACTACAGGCAGTGCCTTTTCGTAGAGACCCAGGACAGTGCACAGCTATCCTTGTTAACAGACACCTGGACGGATGTCGGAGGTACTTAGCCCCACAGGTGCAATTAAATTGATATACCACGTACAATTCGGACTTGGCCGGTAATCTGTCTTTAAGGCTTTGAGTAATAAATGCAGTGGTCTCGGCAAGAACGTGGTGGATTTGCCGCTGGGTATGTTCTTGTCACGGCAACAGAAAACCACGTTTTTGCATATCTGTCAACAGTACCTATGTTACGAGCCCAGGTCGTCACATATCCTGACCAAGAAATATCGGGAGGTAATTAAAGAATAACGAGCGAATCCTGATATCATTGTTCCTAGACCAGCTCAAATATGGTGATGGGTGTTAATGGACAGATCCGAGTGTGTCACCAACCAAGTTATTTTACAAGACAAGTAATTTGATGCATCATACAGTCCAAAGGAGAGGACAGCGAAAGATGTCACCATAGCATTTCACGCAAAGTTGCATAAAATGTCCAAACTGTTACAAAGAAAGTCCAAAAATTTGTAAAGAAAGTCCAAAATGTGGCAAAACCCTGTGCGATTCTACAGTCGCTCAAAACCAATCCTCTGACCTTAAGTGTGTTCTCATTGGCCGGATGACAAGGTTCGGTGCGTTAGTATGGAGAGGTGAGCGCGCTGCCCGTTGACCGGGTGAGACTTGTGGATGAACCTTAGAGGTATGGACTTCGGCGATGCAACGGGCTTGTATGCGCCCCCCTCACATCCGAAATAGGAGATCACAATTAGTCTGAGAGCAATGAACAACCGGAACATAAGCGCACGAACGAAACCATGTCTATGATTCTAACGTCATCAGCATGCCTTCTCGCGTTCGACAGAGTATCTCATCAGACATTCGTGACCGAGTTTTGGGCGCTTCGTCAACGGTGATGACTGGCAGCTGGTGGCAACTGTGAACAACGTCAAATATCAAACAGCCTACTCCTGGATTCGTCGTTCTCTTGATCAGGAGCCGAGTACTACGCATTTGCGCGGTCGTAAGCGGATTCTGTCGGAGGAAGACGTAGATGACATCCTGGATTGGATCGCAAGGGACTCAACTCTTACGCTACGGGAAATGCGAGTACGAGTACGAGCAGAAATGGACAAGAATATTTCGAAGTCAACAATCGCATGGCGCCCGGATGGTCGATTAATAACTATGAAGAACATCTATCAGGTTCCCAAGGGAATGAACAATGAGCGAACCAAAGGGATACGCAGGGAATTCGTTCAGCAGTTTCTCCAACTTGAGAGCGATGGCAAGTTCTTCATTTGGATTGACGAAGCGAACTTCAACGTTTACTGCAAACGTACTCGTGGTCGGGCGCCCAGAGGAGTGAGGGCCTGTTGCAAAGTTGCCAACAGTAGAGGCCTCAATTTGCATTTGATCGGTGCACTCACAATGGAAGGGAAAGTGTCGATGACCACCCGGAGAGGCTCATTCACCGATCCTCTATCTCTCGAATGGCTGCGTAGCTATTTAGACAACCTGAAACGGGAAATGGAGCTCCGGCAGGTTGTCGTGGTATGTGATAATGCACCATGTCACACAGGACTGGAAGAACTGTCGTCAGTAGATGGATGCGATGGAGTAACCATACTGAGATTGAGCCCATACTCTCCGTTCCTCAATCCGATCGAGAATGTTTGGCAGGTGGTGAAGGCCAGAGTGAAGAATGAGATGAGAGTGCACTACGAGGTACTTCTGGCCGGGATCCCCAGAAACTCATGACGCAGATGGAATGGAGACTGCAGTTCCTTGAACGCATTGCCGGAGCAGCCACCAAGGATATCAGCGTTGTGGGATGTCGTAATGCTATTCGACATATGCGTGTACATTTTCCTAATTGTCTAGAAAAAGGGTATATGTTTTGATCACGTTGCTGGCCTATTTTTTACGTATCTGGTTGTATAGCACGTTACTGGCAGCGCGTAGGGACGTGTGAGTATTCACAGTGTTCTCAAAATATGTATGCACATACGTAAGTTTGTGTGTTCGTACGGGGTTGAAGCGATATCTGATGTCTAGCGCAAGGGAGTGACACGGGACCGGCTTCCAGTGAGCCATGCCCGAGTGATATGTTCAACTTATGGTCCTTTTCGTGCCGGTATTCGCTGCGCCGTACTCTTTCATGATCAGCCTGAGATAACGTAGATACAGTTTCTTTGTTCGGAAAACTAGGCTGTTTGGAAAACGCATTGTAGGACCAAGTGAGCTTGCCGGGTGAAGCAACCGTCAGATATATCACAGTATGGGATATCAGCGTGGATAGTTGAATAGTAGTGAATAGGAAATTACTGCGCACGTCATGTCAGCCTTTTCCAAGAGTGAGAGGAACTGATAGATGCGCAGATGCGAGTTCGCAAACGCGTCCATTTCCAGACAAGATGTCGTCATTGAAGCTGAACGAATGAATCGCGTGTCTAATGGAAACCGTCTCTGTGCGATGTTTGTCCGCTGTATTTGAGTGCACTGGCGCGTTAATTCGTTACTCCATTGGAAGTTGGTCTGTCAAGTTCGGAACCCACATCAGCCGGTTCGGAAGCTGTACTTTAGATTTAAAAAGCAACCATTCCTACAGCAAGCCCAATTTAATTTGCGTGCCAGAAAGGCCCGAATAGCTGTCCAGTACGACATGCATACTGTCTTGATCGTTCGGATGATCCCTCGTTTGACCCAATAGCGTGCGTAAACAAATGGGGGTGTAGTTGGCGTGGATACAGTGGCGTAGCAACTACTTTTGCTGTCCGTGGCGGACGTACAATTGCTGCCGCTCTCGCAGTTGTAAAGCCCACAATTGAAATTGCCATTCAATATTTCGTTTCACATAACAACAATCACAGATTTAATTTTAGAGTGCTGTCGTGAATGCAGCTATTTGAATTGTTAAAATACTCGTGTTCAAAATTTACAGGCACGTTTTTCGTGCACTACTTGAAGACGCTGGCATCCGAGCTGAATAAGCTCTCATCGAACGCAATTGAACATCACTGGTCGAAAATCCGGCAGACTTTGTTAGCAGCGGGTATGTCTTAATGTGGCAAATCAAATCGCCAACCTGGACATTGGGTCACTACGCAGTCTCAGGAACTTATAGATGCTTGCCAACGTGTTCCGGCTGATAGCGAACACAAGGAGACTCGAAAAGATTTCAGGGCGAAACTGCTTGCTCCTCTGGAAAGGGACCTGATAGCCTGATGGCCGAGTGGTCTGCACGCCTGGCTTGCAATCATAAGGTCACCGGTTCGAATCTATTTTCCTGGCCTGCTTTGTCATCCTGGATGTCTTCTCGGTGCTCACTCAGTGTCTGAAACCCCCGTCCGTCGAAAAAATTGACTATCCCGTTGACTAAGTGTTGCACTGAGCCAATACCGTGGACAGGATGATCAAGTGTCACGATAACTGATCATCGCTTGCATCCTGGTGCCATTGGTGACAAATATCACTACCTATCATGCAACTGCGAAATACTACCAAGCAGCCGGATTATGTACGGCAAATATATCTCTCAACATGGCTTGGGTGCGCAAGAATCCGTTACTTTAACTTTTATAGCGCTTGTCGAAATGATTGTACGATTTTAAACGTGGTACTGACAGAACAGTAGGTAGGGACAAGCGGAAATTTAAAGTCACTAACACCATCTATCTGAGCTCAGGAAATGTAGCTTGCGAAACCGCAAATTGCTCACAATTAGGGTTTTCGGACTGCAGCCGTGCGAACATCAGAATGCTATAAAC